TCGTCGGGTCGAGGGTGAGGGAGCTGATTGTCGGGACCCACTTTTATGTTGTCCTCGGGCACGCATTCTCCTATTCTCATAATCTCCTGTTTTCTTATTCGCGCTATGTTCCCAGGGAGGAACCGTTCTGCAATGCTGCGTGTAAAGCTGCGTTCATACTTTGTAGCAGCGTCCACTAGCGTTGTCTTATGCAGTTTTCCTAAAATTCAAAAGCGCCCGCTGAAGCGCTGCTGTGCGCTGGTGGACGCTGGCGTTCGCAGATCGATACATTCTTTCCTTAGTGCCTCGAGCCGCTGACGTACGCTGCTGGACGCTTTTGGACGCTGTTGCAAAGCATAGCGCAACCTTAGCGCCGGTGTACCACCCTGCTATTTCGAAGGGGGAAAGAACTCCGGGGGTGGGTGAGCCACTTGTCATACTTCACTTTTTCAGTATTGACTCCTCTACTCTCTACTCTCTTGTTGTCGCAATAATGTGAACACGGCTTGAAAGCTAAATATTGCACTTTTCAGGTGATTCCTACTCATGGGTTCATCCGCTGTTTCACACGGAATCGCTCAGTTACTAGAAGGAAAGGATGCGAAGGAATGTATCATTCCATCCGCTTTGATTGGAAACAGGTGCGTGACTGCACAGTGATTATCCGATAGGAAACATTTGGGCTCCTCCTCGTTGAAGGAGCTTTACGAAAGGGAATATTAGCGAAGATATGTATCCCATTGATCAATAATTGCTTCAGTGTGCGTCCGCAGTGTTCCCACTCATCCATATTGGGTGCCATAGTGATTCATTTGATTCCTGCACTGTAGCAGTGTTAATACTCCGAAAATTCAAAAAAAATATTTCCTCGAAACTTCGCCCACGGAGGTTACTCACTGCCCGAATCACGAAGATGATGTTCATTTTTAGCGCTAGCGCCAATTTGGCGACTTCACCTATCTCAACGGAATCGATGATAACCTGTATATGGGGTCATTCGACTTCGTGATCACGATTATTACGTTTTTTTTTACGCTGGAGCCAATAGACGAGTTTGTTGCCATCAATTTTCTCATCACAGTTGACAAAGAGGACGCCAATGTGGGCACCCTGGTCATCTGCGCTCTGCTCAGGCTCAGCCTGGCAGGAAGGGAATCACTCCCTTCCCTGGCTTAGCCATAGTATCGCCCTAAGTTTCGCTGGTGTCCGAAAATGAAAGTAACTTTCGTGATCAGGGCATCATTCAACCCTATTATGCAAGTTTTCTGCGGTTCCTGTGATAAAGGTAGGCCCGCCAAATTGGCGCCATTTGGCGCGAAATGGCGCCAGCGTTATAAATGAATGTTATTTCATGGTCAGGACACCGCAACATCTGTAGACAGGATTTCAGCGAAAATTTTCTCGAGTTACGGAATAGTAACAGTGGAGTAGTTTGATTGAATACCTCTTTGTTTATCGGATCGTTGTGAACGAGATCCCACGAGTTTGCTTGACGTCTCTTGTTTGATGCTGAAAATTTTCTTGATATCCTTTTTTCTTCTCTCTTCCCAAAACCTATTTTTTGACGGAAATCGTGAATTCACCACGCCTTTATCAGGTTGTATTTGTTGTGCGTGAGGATATTCCCTCCAGTTGATGGTTGTTGCGCCGTTCGAATATCCTGTGAAAGTGATCCCAGTGTACTTTATTTCGGAGAGATCAAGGCCAGTGAAGCAGTGGAATGGATTTCGGTTTTTGAGCAATTGTCTGTATCCTCTAATACAGATGACTGGTTAGTGTTTCAGACATTTTTGACTTCTTTTCATTTTTTTTTTCTCGATCATTTCGTCAAAATGACATTTTTCTATTCATCACAGCTTCATACCTCTTCGAATTGATCCTGCTGGTGAGCATGTCGTCTTGGTTTGTGACTTGAACGGCGTTGTACTACGGCTTCCACTACGGAAACCGAATCCTAGCGAGCTGAATGACCATCTGTTCTGCATCATAAATAAGGCGAAGGTATGCAGAGGTTTTTATTTGTTGACACTCCTTCCCTGGACTGTTGAGAATTTGTTGTGCAGAGAGATGTGGACTTGCAGTCGTCTCTTGTTTAAAGACAGCGTCCGCGATCAACCAAGGTTGAAGAAACCCTGTACTGTACAAGGTCGTGGAGTCCGCAGCCACAGAGAATATCCCCAGTGACTCGAAATCGATTGATAGACGAAGGCGGAGTCAGCAGTGATAAGCTGACAGCCGCGCATCGTGTTAATCTCAACAGCTCGATTGACCATTATTAGATTGTCACCCTGCGGCATATGTTTAATCGCTAAATTTGTATCGTTCATTTCGTACACAGATAGACACCCATAGATAGTTGGGAATAAATTAGATTAGATAAGATAGCCTAGGTAGTGGCCTCATGGAAATAGCCGCAACGAGGCGGCGACGGGTTTCGGAGAACTCAACCAAAATCAGCGAAACTCGTCCAGATGCATCCTTCAAACAAGGTCTTATTCTGTGTTCTTGTGGCGCTTTTGTATTCTTTTTTGATTAATGCTTTAGTTGCCACATCTTTAAACATTGCTGAGCCCTGCAACATGCCGAAAACGTCGAGGGCGCTGTCCTTTAGAGGTTTGGTTTTGAAGCGCCGAGTCATAAATCAGTCACAGTGAGCGCTACCCAATCTGTGCACACCTCCCCACCGCGGGTGTCTCGCCCTTATTTCATTCGCGCCGATTTGATTGCTCACCTTCGCCTACTTTCCCGATCTTGACTCCTCTCTAGGCTTTTTAAGAATTTTTGTCCTTGGCACTGCCCACGTTAGCGCACTCCCCGCTCATAGTGGGCGAAGCCTAGCATGGCTTACATGTGCTCCGTGCCCCATCTATGTCGAACTGGACCCGCTCCGCTCCGTAAGAGATTTTTCACGCAGTTCCGTGTTATATATAGAGAGAGTCTGACCCTTATTTCGGTGGTGTTTTGGCCGCACTAATCTGAACCGAAGTCACCGATGGTGTTATAAGTAGGCTGGAACTGGGTGTAATCAGTGTGTGTTTGTTTTAGTAATAATCGGACTAGTATGGACGGCAACAGGACGGTGCGTTTATGAATAAAGAAAAAGTTTGAGATACTGGCCCGGAAGATGTGGTTGACAGGCAAAGGGTTAGATAGGAATCCATTTTCTTTACCAACTGCCATATTGGAGGATGCGCGATTCGAAAGAATTTTCGATACGCTAGTAGACGGAGTCAATCGATTTCCATTTAGTCCCTTTTATTGTCCGAATCGCATATTCTTCTGATCGGTACGGGTACCGTCGTCCCAAATCACGGATTGTTAACACTTACAAAGTATGAAATCTGTCATTGTCTTGTAGCGCAGTTCGGCTCGGTAGGGGCACGGTACTCAGCTAAGCCTGCACAGGCCATTTTGTGGAGACCTGTGAATTCCTGTGACTAAAATGGGTCACCTGCACCAATCCTCAGCTTCACCGGAATTTACGGTCTCGTCAGAATGAGGCTTGTTACATAACGTGAACTGAGAAAAGATGCTAGCGAAAGTAATATTGTTATGATAACTGCTGTTTTACGCCGCAGTTCGCGTTCTCGAAAGTTACACAAGAATGCTGAGTTCATGGGCAAAAGTCGAACCCTAGGCGGGAGTCGAATCCGCACCTCACGCTTTGCGGGCGAGCTATCGAAAGTCCCCTCCGAAGCGCCTAACTTTCTTTAACTTCCCAATAATGTTTCCCGAAGTTGATCATCTTGCACTCTTGTCTAAAAATAAAAGAATATTCAGGCGCTCCTCGCTGAAGAAAGAAAGGCAAGGAAGGCTTTAGAGCGGCAGCTTCTAGCCATGGAAGTTGAACTCGGATCGGTAAGTACTTGCTTCCCCACTCTTGTTTGACCGCGTTTAATCGCTATATTCTTATGGCAACTTCTAGGTCAAACAAAAGGCGACTTGGCAGGAAAAAGAAATGGAGTTGCTGAAAATGCTGCTAAAATCACCGACTGTTCCTCCATTCGTTCCTGAGAAGAAACCTCATTGCGGTTCGTGCAGTCATGCTAGGTAAGCAAGGCCGAAGGCATGCTGGTCATGTAGTGCTGATTGCCCTTACACATTTTTAAATGGACCCTTTTACCGGAAAATCGCTTTAGTTCTCATCATGGGCGTGCTGCAGAACAGGTGTCTAGTGGTGCTAGCGCAGAGGAGCGTGAAACACCAGAGCAAGGTATGCTTCAGTGCAAAGTTCTAGTTTTCTACAATTTAATTCTTACTTCTTTTTTATATTTTCCTCTTGATGATCGGCCGTACTCGCCTATGTGGAGTTGCACAAGAGTAGCAAGTAGCGCCGCACTGCAAGTGTGGTCCGAGGTTGAATCTCTGATCAGCTTACGCCCAAAATAATCAAGCTATCACAAGAATGCTGAGTTATGGGCAAAAGTCGGACCACGGACGGGATTCGAACCCGCATCTTCTGCTTACCGGGCAGTTGCGTTCCCTATTACGCTATCAAATAAATC